CTTTATGGCTCGAAGAGATATTGCCTTTAGTTTTAAATGCTCACATTACATCAGTCTATACAAAATCTGCCTTAAAAAAAAACACATAGAGCAAGGTCCAGGAGTCCGTGGGCAAGGCCGAGCTCCTGGCCTCCATTTCCTCTCCGCAGCTCGGAGGTGGAAGCCGATGCTGGCGGGGGTGAATCCAACTGGCCCGGCGGGCGCGCTCACTCCCTGTCCCCGTCTTCGCTGCTACCTGCAACAGAGAGAGCGCACGGAGAGGCTGAGCCTGGGGACGAGCCTCCTCCCCACCACGCACCCCGTCTCACGAGGAAACACGCAGCACCGATGCAAGCCCAGAGCCATCGGGCCATCGTGGGCCCCTTCGAGCAGGCCCTGCCCCTCCAAAACCCTCAACTGCTGGGCTAACTGAGCCAGCCTGGTGGTGGGCGCCTGCCTGAAACACCCCTGACTTCAAGTTCCTGCTTCCCTGCTCTCTTTCTGCTGCTTTCTTTTGGAAAGCCCTGGTGCCAGGGGTGGGGGGAGCAGGGGGTGGGCCACGTATGCAGCCAAAACTCAGCTCTTCCATCTGCCAAAGATAGCAGCTGTCCAGCCCAGCCAAGAGGCACAAAAGCAGGCATTCAACCCCTGGCTCTACCACTCCGCAGCAGGCCACCAAGCTCCTCCGAGCCGCAGGACTGCACCCAGCTACCAGCTGGCAGTCACAGAGAGCCCAGGCCTTGGGCCACCCCCAGCCCCCAAGGGTCCTAGGTCCCACCCCCCACAGAAGACTATAATTGTGCATAACGAAGCATGATCCTGAGCGATGATAAGTTGCTGGTGGTGGCCACGAAAAACAGTGGAAGCTGCTAAAAAAAATGCTAAAAAATGGTGAAAATTTTGCATAATGACACATAATTATGCACAAGGAGGCATAGTTGATGAGCTGCAGGTGAAGGCCCTGAAATAAGTGAAAGGTTCTGCCAAAAGGCAAATAATTGTGAAAATCCTGAATAACGGCATGGAGAGAAGCACAGCGAGGCATGACCATATGTAATGGTGCGCAACAATGACGAGTGACTTGCATTGTGATGCAAAATGGTGAACAGCGACATATAGCGACACGTCACAACAACACATAATGACGCATCGTGATATAGAACAATGCCTAATTGCGCATAATGATGCCTAATGTTGAATAATGACGAGTTGCTGGAGATGACCATGAGAAAAGTGAATGTTTCTGAAAAAAAAATGCCAAGTAATTGCGAAAATCCCAAATAACTGCCCGTAATGATGTGTAGTGATGCAGGATAATGTCTAACAATACAGAACGGTGCATAACAAGGCATAACAATATGTAACGAGGCACAACAATGCTTGACGACACATAACGACGTATAATTGCACGTAATGATGCATAATGTTGAATACTGATGAGCTGTTGATGGCCATGAAAAAATGTGAATGGTTCTGAGAAAAAAGGCAAATAATTGGGAAAAGCCCAAATAATTGAGCCTAACAAGGCATAATGACACGTCATCTTGAATAATGACAAGTCACTGGTGATGGCCACGAACCGCAGTAGAGGCTTTTGGAAAAAATGTCAAAAAAGGGTGACAATCCCAAATAACGATGCCTAACAATGCACGGTGACACAAAACGGTGGATAATGGTGTGCAGCAAAGACTAATTGAACATAACGATGGATAACCACTAGTACTGATCCATTACTGCTGCTTGCAGGGACTAGCAATGGACGGGCATGACCAACAGCAAATACTGGATGACATGGACCGATCGTGCAGAACAGCGGTTCCCAAACTGTGGGTCATGACCCCAAATGGGGTCAAAACATCAGCAGATGGGGTCATGGGGGAGGGAGGTGTGGGTTGGGAGTGAGGGGCCATGCTGAGGAAATGGGGCCATGAATGGGATCGTGCTGAGGACAAAAGTTTGGGAAGCAGTGGTGCAGAACATCCAACCATCCATCACCAGTAATACCAAATCACCGCAGATCACAAATACCGTGGGAAACGGCAACTCGCTCCCCGCGCTCTGAATCAGGGTGAGTAATTGTGAAGAAATGATGAACATGCCCAAATAAGTAAGCCCTGCAAATGCTGCCACAGGGAAGAAAGGGAGGAAGAGCTAGAACCTGGCACCAGGCAGCACAGAGGCTCCCCGCCAGGCTGCGAGGCAGAGTGCGGCCGGGATCTGAGGAACAGGCCTGGGGCCATGGCGAAGGACCCCCCAAAGGGACCGGGCTGCCAGCTCCCATCCCCCCAGGTCAGTGTGGGGAGGCGTGAATCCAGGCTGGGCAGGTGCAGGTTTTGCTAGGTGCAACGGGGCATCCTCGTGCAGGGAAAACGGGCAGGCTAAAGCACGAGATGCAACCATCCCAGCTCCTCGGCCACGAGGCAGAGAAAGAGAAGGGGAAGCAGAGATTTGAGCCCAGGACCAGGACCGCTGCAGAACACCACCCCCAGCACAAGGCTCCCGGCAGGGAGCTGGACTAAGGCGCTCACATGCACTTGCGTGTGTTTACACAGAGACAAAACCCTCCAACCCATCACAAACTGGAGCTAGTGATGACTAGCGCATGGGCATCTCTTTCTATATTAGCCCCCGCACAGAACAGACACATTCGCTCTCCCCTACACTTCATTTATACTTTAGCCATAGTGCCGTGGTATGCGAGTAGCACACACTGGGCATGTCTACACGTGATGCTTTAATCCGCATTAGTCTAAGCTAATGGGCATGAAGGGTGCGCGTCTACACGTGTGTACCCTTAATAGGAAATAAAAATGGCAAATTTAGGCTATTCGCACATTAATGCACATGTAGACACGCTAAAGTGCATTAATGTTATGTCTGCAGGCTGACTCGGGATTAACTTTAGTCCCAAATCAGTCCACACACATATAGCATTAATGCGCTACACGTGTAGACGCCTTCCTAAATCCATTTAGTGCTCATTAAGCTAATGTGCATTAAATTTAGGCACACTTAAATGCACATGTAGACACACCTATTGTGTACCAGCACACTTCCCATGCCCAGGGGAATATGCTGCATTTGGGGTGGGAGGTCCAGCTGAACCCCATGGAGACAGGTACCCCAGCAGCCCAGCTCAGGACTCACCTCCTATGGACTCCATGTCCGAGTCGGAGACGTGCGTGATGGAGAATCTGGACACTGGGGCTGGCGAGACCGTGAACCGCGAGAGCTGGATGGGCAGCGCTTGCTTCTGGACGGGGACCAGTGCGGGCAGGGGGGTGACAGCTGGGTCAGGCACCACCGCGGTCACCGTCAGCGAGGACATGAGGGACGACTTCACGGGCATGAGCGGAAAGTCATCGTCCCACTCAAATCCGCCACCTGGAACAGACCAGGGCCAGGAACCAGTCAACTGACCAGTCAAGTGATCTCATTTAAGTGGTTAATTAATTAACCACCGATAATCTGACTGCAGTTCAAACCTGTGCAATATCCCGCAGAGCCAAGAGCACCCTTGCGTAGGCGACATCCACCTTCTGCATCGCATCATGGAGCAGAGAGAGGCAGTTCGCCTTGTTGAAGTCCGGGCAGAGATGCACTTTATAGACCAACTGAACCAGATGGGTGCAGCCCTCCCGCCCTTGCTCACAGATGACGCTGTAGGGTAACGATGCACCTTACAGACCAACTGAATCAGAGCTTCATCCGCTTCCCTTAACCCCCTGCTTCAGAAGCTATGACAGGACATGCAGATTTTGCCTGCCCTGTGCCGGTCCTTTCATGGCATCCGATGCAGTGAGCTCCTGCTGCCCAAGCCGCTGCCTCCTGCCCGACTTCAGACCAGCTCAGCCGACTACATCTCCAAAGGCAGACAGCAAAGGGCTTGACGACTGCACCTGCTGCCTCCTTAGCCTGCCCGCAATCTAAAACCGGACTTCTGCCTTTTATAGCTGCTGCGCGGCTTTATTTCTGTTCCATTTAACAGTGTTTTTCCATTTGGTAACTCTCCGGGCTGACCCCGGGGTTTCAGGATGACCTCCAAGGAAAGGAAGAACTGCTCGGCCTCACATATCAGCCACATTTACGCTTGCCCAACGCTGAGAGTTATAAACATCCACTACCATTTCATTTCATGGCTTCCCAATAATAAGTAATGAACTTGGTTTGCTGTAAGTATCCAACCTACTAAAGATGAAAGTCTCTCTCTGCTCTTGTAATCAATTCATGCTTCAAATACTTGACCGGGACTTGCCAGCATTTGATCAATCAACTGACCACGTCTTTTTTTGACTGGTCAAACCACCACCACCTGGTACCCTTCCCACCTCCCTACGCCGGGCCTAGGTAGCAGTTCTCCAACGTGTTTTAGGCTCGAGGCACCTCTCAGGAAACGCCAGCTCTTTGCTTTCCTTCATCTCCTGACTTCAGAAAAACACGACAGCAGTGGTTCTGCTGCAAAGACCATAGCAGGGCAGAACTTTTATGGGCCTAGGGATCGCTAGGTGAAATCTCTGGGCTTCCTCTTGTCCATCGTGCGCACACCTAGCAGTGCTAATCTTGCATGGCACCAGAGCCAGGTGCATTTAGCGCCATGCAGCAGGGTCCCGTCTCCTCCCTCCCCAGCCTTCACACTCTGCCCCGCTCAAGTCTTACTCTCTTCCGAGGCGTTCCCATCCGAGGAGTTGTCGGAGGCGTTCGCTTGGTCTGCCGGGCTCGGGGGGCCCGAATCGTCGTTCTGCACGGGCTGCGGCGAAGACTCGGCCGCCTCGGGGAAAGTCGGGTCGCCGAGGTCCCGCGTGGGGCTCTCCTGGACGTGGGAAGACAGAAACGGGGAAACCAATCGCACCGGGCAGCCCCCTTCTCTCTGAAAAAACATCCCGGGACGTGGCACAGATGCCTTGCCTGCATCCCATGCAGCCTGGGACCACCGGTTAGGAAGTGGGGGGTGGCCACGTTGTTTGAGGGCTGCAAGGTAAAAGACTGGAGTCCCCCCTCCCTCCTGGGGCAAGGCCTGTCTCTGCAAGGAGGCGCTGAGCGGGGCCAGGACCCACCTGGTCGAAGAGGTAGACGGTGACATCGTCGTAGAAGGACACGGCCTTCTTCTTGCGCTCCAGGTCATCGCAGAAGGTCTCGGGCAGCAGGCCGGGCATCTTGAGGAGGCTGCGCAGGTTCCTGGCGCTGTGGCTCTCGGCCACCACGATGGGCACGGCCGCCGGCTCGTCCTCGCTCTCCTCGCTCTGCTCCTGGATGTTGTAGCAGCGCAGCTCCTCGTCCGACTCGTCGCTGTCCTCCGTGTCCTCCTCCTCCTCCTCCGGCTCGTCCCGCCGTGGCTCCCGGGGGGGCTGCAGCGTGGAGAGGTCCAGAGACAGCTGGGGAGCCTGAGTGGGCGACGCGTCCTCCGCGGGGGCCGTGCTGGGGCATTTCTCTTGCGCTTCCCCTTCCAAAACTTGCTCCTGCTCCCCGGGATCGGAGCCGGGCACCACGACCGGCCCAGCACCGGCCTCGGTGTCTTGCACCCGCTCCGGCACGTGGCTGCCGATGCCAGTGCTTGAGGGAGCTGCGTCCTCTGGGCTCATAACCACTGGAGACAGAAAGAAGACTTTGGATGGCACGGGCCCTGCAGGGAGGCTGGGGGCCGGGGGGCGCTCACTTCCGTCTGCCTCTCTGGAGCCATCTGAGTCCAGCTCGGGGCCTGAGACCCTGTCCTCGGCTTCGGCAGCAGCGTCCACCACGGGTGCTGGCGGCGAGGGGGAAGCCCCCAAACCCAGGGTTTCCTTCGCAGCTGCAACATTTCCACCAGGAGCTTCGACCTCCATGGAGGCCTCTGCAACGCTGGCAGCTCTCTGCAAGCTCTCGGGGGTGTCGCAGGGGAGAGACGTCTCCTCCCCAGTGCTGCTCTGGCTCGCCGCGCTCCCCAAGTCCTCCAAGTCCAGGTGGGAGAAGCCCCTCTCCTCCTCCTGGGCCTCGGACCCATCACTGTCCTCATCCTCCTTCGGGTACCGCTCCGCCTCCGCGTCGTAGTCGGAGAAGTAGGCAGAGTCGCGGTACGGGTTCTTCTCACTCAGGCCATGCAGCTCGGTGCTGAAGGACGAGGACAGCCGCATCTCCGAGGCCGCGTCGTCCCCTTCGCCTGCGGGCGGCTTCCCCAGCGGGGCAAAGGTCTCCGGCTCCCGGGGTTCGTGCGGCTCCTTCAAGACGAACTCGGGGGACTCGTTGTTCTCAGTGTCGTAGCCGCTGTCCAGGGCCTTGGGCTGGCTGGCAGGGGCGTAAGCCGTGGGGCTGAAGACGTCGCAGGAGCTGGCGGTGGACGGGATGTCCAGCGATTCCAGGGAGTCCGGTGTCCCCACCTGCTTCTGCAGGGACTTGAAAGACGGGGCCGTGTCTGCTCGCTCCACGTAGTCACTGGAGAAGTCGGTGAAGATGCCGGAGGTGAGCTCCGTGGTGTCCTCGTCGCTGCCCTCATCCGTGTCGGGGAAGCTGGCGCTAGAGAACGTCTTGTCCGGGGTCCGGTCCAGGTCGCTGGTCAGGCTCTTGCCACTCTCCACGGTCACGTCTCTTGGGGCCTGGCTAGATGCCTCCGAGGCCTCCGAGGAGACGCGGGAACAGTCGGAACAAGGCTCCCCCTCCGCTTGGGCAGGAGGGACGGTCCACTCCCCCACCTCCAGAGCAAGGGCTGCTGCCTCGGCCGGCCCAGCCGGGCTCTCAGCGAGCTGGAGCGGCACCCCCACCTCTGCGAGCACCGAATCCACCAGCCCCGGCAGCTGCATGGCCCTGGGCTGCGGCGTCGGGGCGCGGCAGCTCCCCTCCTCTCTCTCAGCAGGTCTCGGCACCGTGCCGGCATCGTAGGCACATGTCTGGGCCCCGGCTCCAGCCACCGGGTCAGCCGGGAGCTCCGCGCCTGAGGCACGTGGTGCGCTGGGGACGCCTGCCAGGGCCGTCGCATCCGAGTGACCGCAGGCGCGTGAGTCACCACTCTCCCAGTCCAGGCAGTGCGGGGAGGGGGAGCAGGAGGAGGAGGAGGTGGCCGAGGAGTCCTCCATGGTGGCCAGAGCCATGTGCTCCACGGGGTCTGGCCGGAAGCCGCCGTCCTTGGCGAGGGGCTGGTCCCGCAGCGCTCTCCGGAAGCCCCTGAGCAGCGGGCTCCGGCACTCCGGCGGAGAGTCCTCGAGCTCGGCCTCGTCCCGCGGCACCGAGCCCAGGGGCTCAGCCATGAGCCCCCGGAAGGTGATCATGTGGCGGTAGCACCAGCTGTCGTTGGCGGGGGGCTCACAGGGCGGCGGGGCGCAGTTGCTGCTGTTGTTGTTGGCCGAGCTGTTGGAGGTCCAGTGCTGAGCCATGGGGCTCGCCTCCTCCAGGAAGGCCTCGTCCCCCGCCTGCTGGCTCCGGCGCCCGGGGCTGCCGCAGGGGCTCTCCTCGCCCAGCTCCAGCGTGACACAGTCCGGCCTGGCTCCGGGGGTCCCGCCGGCTGCGCTCTGCCCCAAGTAGTCCAGCCGTCTCCCAGCAAGGTCAGGCTCTTTGTAGCGGCGGGGGCTGTAGGCACAGTTCACCGACGGCGAGACGCCCAGGGGGTCCTGGAAGATGCTCTTGTGGAAGCCGGGCACTGGCCATGCTTTGCTGGCAGCCTCCGGGGGCTCCTCCAGCAGGTACTGGTCGGTGCCATCGCTTGGGGAGGGCTCGTAGTAGTGGCGCTCCTTGCCACGGCTGGGGTAGGGGTAGTATTCGGCGTGCTCCCAGGAGCTCTCACTGGGGGGCGCGTGGCCCAGGAGGGGCTCCATGCTTAGGGAGACGGTGGGGCTGTTGTCCGAGTCGTACATGCCACTGCCGGGGTCCCCCTTGGCTTGCCAGCAGGGCGCCTTATCCGGGGAGCCGCCCTCGTAGTCGGGGCTGTAGGAGCACATGGTGTAGTCCAGCTCGGGGCCACCCTCCGCGGGGCCCTCGATGCGGATGTAGTACTCGTTGCTGAGCGAGGGGCTGTGGGCACCCAGGATGGGCAACACGCCAGGCGTGTGCAGGCTCTGGCAGCCCTGCTGCTTGCACTCGTAGCAGGACGGCGAGACGCCGAGGCTGAGCCGCCCCACCGAGGTGGCCGGGTAGTACAGGTCCTGGTACTGGGCGGCGCTGCTGGGGCTCAGGGCCCCCGGGGGTGCCTGGAAGTGCTCAGCTTTAGTGTGCTCCCACTTGTACTCAAAGTTGAGGCCGTGGCTGGTCTCCATGACCGTCAGGATGTCATCCCCATCCGAGTGGAAGCCGTCGGCGGAGAACTGCTCCAGCAGTGGGAAGGACGAGACCTCGGCGCCGTGGTGGCTGGTGCTGGAGCTGCTGTTGGGCTTCATGGAGTTCCAGCGCTTCTCGAACTCCTCCTCCACCTCCGTGGCCCCCTTGGCGCACAGGTAGGAGAGCAGCAGGTGGACCTCCTCCGCTGTCGGGCGCTGCTCGGGCTGCAGCCAGCAGAACTGCATCACCTCATACCTGCAAGAGCCCAGAGTCTGCACCTGCCGCTGGCCGGAGGAGCCAGCGGGTCCAGGCCCTTCGCCTGCCCAGCTCACGCCCCACTGCCCCCAGGAGCCAGCCCGCACCCAGCTGGGGAGCAGGTGGCTAAGCACATGCCTGTGCCCACCCTCCTCTCTGCTCAGTGAGTCACCGCTCAGCCCCGCGCTTCCTACACGGCAGCAGACTGTGCTCATGCAGCTCCCTCCCGTGCCCCCGCCCGAGCGCAGGGGGAAAGGAGGGCTGGCATGGAGAAGGAGCGGGGAAGGGGCAGCTCCGGGGAGCAAAAGGCATGTGGAAAGGCGCCATGTGGCAGCTCGTTCCTCCCACCCCTGCCCCTGCCCCCGTCAGAGCCGGCGGCACGCTCCTCACCAGCGCTCGGAGAGCGACAGCTTCAGCTGGGGCTTGGGCAGCTTGAGCTGCTGCTCCTTGATGGCGTAGGTGAGCACCTGCCGGTCCGAGTAGTGGTGGTAAGGCTGGCTGCCCAGCTCAAACAGCTCCCAGATGGTCACGCCCAGCGACCTGCGGAGTGCACGGGGTGGGGGAACCGGCGGGCGTCAGGTTGGGAGGGGTCGCAGCCAACAGCAGGGAGGGAAGCCCAAAGCAAGGATGGGTCTCGCCCCTGGCTCGGGCCAGTCGCAAGTGCAGGGTCGCCCAGGCGGTGCCAGTGTAACCGGGCCCAGCTGGTGCAAGCCAGCAGCCGTGCCAGAGACGCCCTACAGCCAACTTCCCAGCATGTGTAGACAGCCCCACCGCCGTGGGGTCAGAGGGGCCAGGCCCCCTTAGCTGCAACTTGGCCTTCCTCCATGGGGTAATACCTGTATGCCCAGGTGCAGATCCAGCCCTGGTCCTCATAGACTGCCCTCCACGGGCAGGTGTGCCCGGCCCCCCATCCTGCCAGGCGCTGAGGCCTTGTGGGGGACAGTGCCAGGCTCACCTTCCTCTCCAAGGGCTGAGTCCTGTCCCCACCACCTCCCCTCATGCACCAGACCACGAGGCAGTGACACATACTGAATCTGGGCGCCGGGCCCGACTCACTCACACACGCTGGCCAGGGCACGGCCTGAGTCAGTGCCCGGTGGCCAGCTCCACCCGAGCCCGCGGGTGGGCGGGCACTCACCAGATGTTGCTGGCCTTGGTCTGGTCAACGATGAGCAGGTTGCCGTGCACCTCGTCGATGAGCTCGGGCGCGATCCAGCGCAGCGGCACCCACAGCTGGTCGGCCGTCACGAAGTAGTCGTCCTGCCAAGTATGCAGGGTCAGTACGAGAAGAGAACGTCAAACCTACGCGTGAGAGAACCGCGCGCCCCGGCGCCGCGGCAGACCCCTGCCCCCGGCCCCCCCATGCCCTGCCAT